AATTTAAAATGAACAGTTCTGTCTTTTCCTTCCTAATATGGTGGGGAACATTTGGCCAAGACACCTCACATCTCAAAGCCTTACAGTTCCCTGGGTAAAATAAAGACAAACCATTACTCCATGGGATCTGGTCCTCATAGAGTGTGGCACACTAGACATGGTCAATGAATGCTCCTTTTCTTCTGGTCTAATTAAAACCATGTTGTTATTAGGAGATGAGTCTTCAGGCCATCTGTGCCCAGATCTGCTGTTTAGGGCATGCTGATACACAAACAGTAAGACATGGACTTGGAACTTCAGAGGGCCTCTGACTGATGACATGAAACCCTAATTTATCCCAACTCAATTCTGTAAGGAAAAGCAAACTCGGGTAACCGAATTGCCATTGCGCTGTACAAAGCACCACACAAGAGACAAGACTGCAATGCATGAGAGAGGATGTGACTTTACTTTTATAGTCAATACTCATTTTAGGCCTTTGTTCTCCACTGACTTTAATTAGAAGTGTTCTTTCTAACACGACTTCTAGAGACTCGGGTGTTAGAAGAAAGAAGCTTCCAGAAGCTATAACTCCAATACTTGACAGAAAGGAAAACTTAGCATATCTTGAACATTTATTAGGAGACATTATCTTGACATATGATCATGTATGGTGATAGTCCTCAGGTACCATCATGTATGTCAGCATACTGCCATCACAGGTTGCATTTCCTCTAGAAATTTATGACATAATGAGCTTCAGATATCTGCCCAAGGTTGTAAGGTAGTAGCTATAGAAAGTAAACTATAGTCCCTAGATGTTGATTTCCTACAAATGTTCCTAAATGAGATCATGACATGCCTGAACATACTTGGAAAAACTCCAGCAGCTATGGTAAAACAGACTGCAATGCTTGATTTAAGCCCATGTGCTGAATAGAACTGTAGCAGTCTATAACCAGCACATAAAGGATACTTCCTGCTATCAATGCCTTATATAAACTCTTGCAAGATCCCACTCCTCAAAGGTTTTCTCTGTCAGAGCTAAGGTGTATATAGAGGCATGAGCCAGAATTTTATCAAACATCCATTGCAGTACTCAATGGCATGCATTGGGTGAACAGGTAAAAATGTGTTCACTTACTCTCAAGGGACAAGAGAAAAATCATTACGTATTCACACTGTGGCCAGTGATGGCCTGTGAATAGAAAGAGTCTAGGGTCCACTTATAAGTAGACTTACTTACCAATCATGAAGAGTGATTAAAAAGGCCTTTTATTCAACATTCCTCAATTCAGGTTATGATCTCAAGAATGAAATGTAGAAAATGATTTGAGTGTCTGCCTTCTCAATTCTTCCAAGGAGAAGCAAATGGCTTCCACTCTCCTGATTTCTTGGGAGAAAAAGTAAACATGGATCTTTATGACTTAACTTTCTCACAAAGTCCCACTGAGAAGCATCCATGGTCATCCAGTGCCCGATGAAAACACCACCATTATACCAACACATACTTCCAAAGACAGCCATCCTCTCTTTATAAGCTCATTTGTATTCCTGTTATTTAAAAAGCAGTATTTTTTCTGTTTGGAAAACAAACAAGAAAGAACAGGAAATATTTGTATATATGCAGACTGTAATTCAAATAGAAAGAGACTGTGGACATGTTTATAATGAAGAATATTAAATGGATTTAATAAGTTTAAACCAAAATACGTTTCTCTGAAGTACTTGGAAATTATTTCCAAACTTTCAGTTAATCAACAAATAGTTCCATGCCATCACCTTCTTAGATGCCCGAGGGATGTGAAAATTAAACGTACTTTGTATGTTTTACCAACAGATGGTTGATTTGCTTCCTCTCCTTACATTGATTTAAATAAAAAATGAGTGATTTATTCCATACCATGCTTGGCTCTCTAGTTTACAGCTGGAAGTATAAGGTTGGTAAGACAGAGCAGAGCTAGGTAAGGAATCAACATTGCTAGAAATCTTGGTAGGAGCTGGGCATTATGCCTGGTACTTTGCACATGTAATCTAAACCATTCCCCCTGAGGTCAGTAGTGTTATTAAGTCCTTTTTACAAATTGAGAGGCTTGGGTTTCAACAGCCATGAACAGAACTGCAATTCCTTCCTTGATTTGTGTTGTTGGAGATGCTCCAGGACTCTGTAAAGCTTCCTCCAAAGAAGAAAGAAATACAGAATTTTACTCATTTTTTTTTCAGATTTATACCCTCTATTGTTCAGCAGACAACCTCTCTGCCAAAACATGGCAACCTATAACTTGCTACACATGAGATCAAAAGAAAGGGGATTCAGATAATTAAGAAATCAAAATCTGCAGATGTATAGAACCCTCTGAGCACGACTGGGCTATATATCACGAAAGGGTTGTCACATGCCCAAAGATTGAAGCACCAGTGAACTTAGGACTCAATAATGGAGGAAAGAGATGTGATGGTCACAGGAAGACAGTGTAATCACCTTTTATTTTATGATGTGGTGCTTAGCTGAATTCACAGGCATCTTCGTACTTTTTCTCACTTGAAATTTTTTTCAACTTCTTTTTTTATCATTTTAATTTTAAATAGCTTGTTTTACATGCCAATCCCAGTTCCTTCTCCCTCCCCTCCTCCTGAACTCCCCCACCGTGCCCCGCAGCCTCCCACCCTATCCCCACTTCCTTCCACATACGGGATATCTAGAGTCTGTCATTTCACTCAGGGCAGGGTCCAGGCATTCCCCTAAGAGTCCAGGCTGAGAGAGCATCCCTCTTTGTGTTATGACACATGAAGCCCGTTTGTATGCCAGGGATAAACACTGACCCACTGCCCAGAGCCCCATAGGTTGCCCAGGCCTCCTCACTGGGCCCCCCCACTGACAGGGGGTCTGGATCAGTCCCATGCTGACCTCCCAGCTGTCGGTCTGGGGTCCAAGAGCTCTTGGACCTCACTTGAAATTTTTACTTTTACTAATAGTCTTAAAGTAGATTAAGAACTTTAAGTGGGGGAGGGGAGACAGATAGCACAAATAACTGTTGCACATTGTTTAACCTCCAAACTCCAGTCTCCCCTGCCTCTCACAGAGCTGCTGTGTCCTTTGTACCCCCTTGGCATTGAGCCCTCAGGACCTGCCACTGACAGTCAGCACTGTTACTAACTCATTTGCCTTTGCCTGATGTGCAGTGCAGAGGCGCTTTCAGAACAGGGGAAGGTCTTTCTGCTAAGCCTCCAAGCATTAATATTTATTAGTGTGCACTCCACTGTAGGATGAATGTTTTATGATCAAATATGAGTGGCAACAAATGGAAATTTCAGCCTCAAACATAAGCCACCCACTCTTCTAGTGCTTCAGCATACAGGACAGGCTTCCCAGTGCAGGCGTCACCCTTCGGGAAGAATCCTACTCACTGTTCTGGACAAGGCAGCAATTGACTGCTTCCCATGGGGTTATTCCAGGCAATAATCAAGGTTATCAGCTTTTGAAATCAATGAGGAGCAACTAAAATGAAACTGGGCGTTAGCATTATATGAATTCTATGTCTGAGAGCTAGGACACACACAACAGGACTGAAAACCATTTCAAAAGCTCGAAATCACAGACACATTTTAAATTTAAATCAGATCAGTTCCCTAACAATTCTGAAAAGAGGGGATCCGTTGCCTTCCCAGGTTTGAACAAAAGCATGCCTGTCTCGGGTTTGCCTATTCATTCAGTTTATTGTGTACATTTCATCTTCCAGGAGCATTGCACTGTAGGTTTGGAATCAGGATCAAGCTCTAAAAAATGGCTTACATGAGCTCTTTGCTATTGAAAACTGCCCTCACTAAATCACTCTGCAATGCCTTTAACACATGACTCAATATTACTCCAGCATCACATGCTGAGTTATTACATGCCGGAAGAAGCAAATGCATCTCATCTGTATAATTAATGGAAGCACTGTACAAAGTCACAAAAGTAAGAGCCCAGTAGCATCTATTTCTGTCCTATCAATTTCAGTGATTTTGTGCAGAAGTAATCATGCTGGGACTGTGCAACAGTGAGCCTATTGAAAATCCTCTTTTCTTCCTTTCCTGGTGAAGCTCTAACCTAGATATTTTAGCAATAATTTGCCAATACAATTTATGTCCAATTTGCTCTAAGCAGCTCAGAGTTTTGAATCAGACCTGGATGCAAATTCTGATTATTTGTCTAAATATTTGGATAACTCACCTATCTATTTCTTTACCTTCCAATCTATAAAATGAACATAATATGTCAGGTAGGATTGCAACATAGAATATAGATTCTATGTAAATAGCAACAGATCAAGATAAATGTGGCTTTTGATAGCGAAACTGTCAAAGACTGTGCTGAAATTGCTCTATTTTACAGAGTGAAATTCATTATGGAATTAAAATAAGAAAAGGAGACAGAGACAGAGAGACAGAGAACAGAACAGAGATGAACATTTTAGGCCTGATCCATTTGCATCTCATGAGATAGTTATTATATAGTCAAGCTCTTTTGTACTTAAGGAGTGTTGTTGTACTTAAGGATATTGTTGATATTAAATAACAGAGTTTTTGGTTACTAAGTGAAATTGAACAACAACAACAAAAAAAACAAATGAAATAACAAGAAAGAACTGTCCCTTCCCCAACTTCTGAAACTGACCCCATTCTCCAGAATAAGGACTTCTACAGAACCTATTAAACCATAGATATGACAGAAGAAGGGAAGAAAGAAATACATTAGTTACATTTTAAAATGATGTTTGGCTCAGTAGCAAGATATCCATTTTGGATGAAACAGTTATCAGTGTATAACTCTTTAACACAGCAAAGGCACTAACTGTAGATCTGGTAAGAAACTCTTCTTTCAGAATAGTCTTCCTTCAAATGGGATGTTACCAATAATCTTCCTTTTTCTCTAGCTGCAGAAAGAGGGTGTCAGCTGTGCTTTCTTTCAATCTCTCTCATCCTCTGTCTCACGTCTTGTATTTTCCTCTCTGACTTCGGCTTCATTTTGCTGCCTGTAGGTAGTCCGGCCATACCAGACCATGTCCAACCCCATGAGCAAGCTCACCGTTCTCAATAGCATGCATTCCCACTTCATCTTGGCTGACAATGGAACCACAGGAAAATATGGAGCAGAGGTGAAACTCCGCAGACAACTGGAAAAGCACATTTCCCTCCAGAAGATAAACACAAGTAAGCAAGTCACTCTTTCCACTACTGTGCCTCCTAGAAAACACTCTAACTAAGCGCCCTGTGCAGTGATGATGTGGAAATTCAAGGAAGATGCATGGAAGAATGATGCCCCAGCCATCCTTCTTCCTCAGCCAGTGTACTGAGTGAAGGAAGCTATCTTGGGTAATATGAATAGAAGCATGAGAACATTAGCACAATTAATGGGCTCAAGCTCAGTTTTTCACACACCCGAAAGTCAGCCCCATCTGGGGTTTAGGAATGCAGATAAGCTTTCCCTCAAACTTTTCCTATATCCTTTTCACAGTACCCCAGAGAAAAAGGCACCCCCAGAGAAATGGCTGCTATTTATTAAGCTATTTTTAGTGCCTAAAAAAGGCAAAACAAATCAGGCTTTGATCTTAGCACAGAGGAGTCTCAAGGGAGTTGGGTGAGTTTCTAAACTAAAGCTTCCTAGGCAGACATCTTGCTCAAACTCTACCACCGTATTTATGTGTCTAGGCATTCACTGCCTCCAGCTACACATGCACTGTGTTGTAGTGCGTACTTGTGTATGCCACATGCTGTGTATCTGATGGCTATAATCATTTCTCCTAAGGGCTCGTGGGCTCTGTACTGAAGTTGTCATATAAACATTTGGCAGTAAAATGAAAGTTGCTCCCCTGGTTGTCTACTAAGGGTCCTCTCAGAATAAAATTTTGTTCTTTTCATAAGTGCCATGTGAGGTTTCAGTGACTGGAAAGTTCAGACTGTATAATTGTCTATAGCATGGAAGCTGGGATATAGTTGATTTCAGTTCCAAAGCCTGTAATTCCAAGAAACATTAGATTCTCTTTGACTACTTTTCGAAAGTTCAGTGCCATGTGGTTCAACTGGTCCAAATCCCATTTCTCTTCTCTGCCTTTGCCCTGGAAGTATCGTCCTTCCTACAGCCACCTTCTTCATAGAACTGGGATGGCAGGCCCTCTGGTCTCGACTTCCCTTCCTGGGTCCTCCTGTCTCTTTGTCCCTCCTGCTTACTTAGTACTCTCATTCTATTCACAGTGAAATCTTGAATAATAAATTTTGCTCATCTGAAATAAAAATTATGTTAGGAAACTCCATTCTTGAATCTTTGCAGCTGTAGATTGGGGGGAGCGGCACATAAAAATCACCCCCCCCCAAAAAAGTAACAGATTCAGAGGCTGACAGAGACAAAGCATTGTCATCAGCCACGTGGTAAGCTTTGCTAAAAATACTAGTGCTTCCCTCCATCTCAGAATCTGAGAGAAAGAATGGGGAGATGTTATATAATTAGTACTATTTCAGGTTATTTTAGTCTATAGTGGGACTCGCCCCGTTATGGGGTTAGATATGAGAGTTTAATGAGAAATAAGCTGGAAACTGAAACTGAAAGGCAGGAGAGCAAGGACACAGAGATAACTCAAGGTCAAGTTGAGGACAGGACAATAAGAAACACTCTCTAGACCAGCAAAGCCCTCCCCTGTGTAGACCCTGGTACCATGAAGTAGTGTATAAAGCAGAACTAGATGTGTAATTAGATGAGTTAGATACCCAACTGATACAAAATCTGGAGTTAGATCAGCCAGGACTGTTAGTTGAACCTTCTGCTTGACAGCTGCCCAGACAATAGGGTGCCTTTTGTTCATTCCAGACAGGACACTTTTTGGCATATAATTTATGCACCTGGAAGGATGCCTTTCTTCAAAGGTTTTTAAAATGCGTAATGTACAACTTGCCTTCCAGGAAAGGGGAAACTGAGCAAGGGACAGGCATGGAAGACCCTGGACAATCACCTCATGCCAGTGAGCAGCAGAGCCCAGACACCAGAAGGGTGAAGGGTGACCATGGAAGGTGGCTAGGGACACTAGAGGAGAGACAACAAGAGGAAGTCTCTGGAGTGATAACTCATCAGGGACACATCTTATCTTATTTGTGGAAACACTGGACCATTGCTTTATTATCAAAGAGGGCAGCAGTTTGGGTTCATGTTCATAAGTGGGAACACATGCAGGAGTATGGATACAGAGAAGGAACATGGATGCCATTGCTTTAGGGCTTATTTTATTGATGGATTTTGAGGCATCATAGAAACTGACAGCCCTCCCACTCTTCTAGTATAAGCAGTAACAAGAAGTGGATTACAGAAGCCCAGTAGACCCCAAAAGTCACAGGAAGTTAAGAAGAGATATGTCTGTGAGCTGCAGTAAATGTCATGACTTAGAACCTACCATTCTGGCATTAAATTCATTGATGCTTACCTGGCACTGTCCCTGGACCCCCTTGGTCTATAAAAACCTGAGATGAGAAGTCACTAGATGAGTGAGTGATTCCTTAGTTATAAAGTAGACTTCACTTCTTACTGTGCTCAGACCCAAAGGAACAAGAAAACATCAAATTCCTCAGGTGTGAGAAGTGACCCAGGCCCCCTGAGAAGGTTCCATTCACTTTGCAGCATGAAAAGTTTCCCCTGAAAACCACAGAAGCCCCAAGAACAGATCTGGGAAGGGTACAGAGCAGACCTGGTTATAACATGTATAGCCTAAGAATATCATCATTTGTGGCAACCCTGCTCAGTGTTTGAAACAATGATTCTACCTTCTTATCTGAGCATGCTTTTAGCTTCATATCATAATTAGCAATTAGTGATTCATCCTTTTAATAACTAAGTTTTATTATATAAGTTCTAAAAATCCCACTTATGTTTACATTTCCTGCTTCAAAATGGAAATTACAAAGAAATCCATTTTACAGTAGCAATCCTGCCCACCACCTTTTATACCCATGGTGGTTCTAGGACTCTCAGGACACACTCAGCACTCTCCTACTGAATTACCAAGCCTCAGAGAAAGGTTTCAAAGCCTATTTACCTACACAAAGTGCATCAACTTCTGGAGCACATATCTGTTAAACATAAAGTATATCCTGTTCAAGAAAACCCTTAATTCTCATCAGCATGCCAATTATTAGTAACAAAAGCACTGAATGTCTTTACATTAATGTGCACTCTGACATTCATTATCCCACCTACATCCCTCTCTACCAGTCAGTAGGAAAGCATTATCAGGGATTATTGAGGGGTCTGTCTATAAAAGAGAATTCTCCTAGACATGAGAAGTTGCCTGCCTTAGACTACTCAACATTTGCAATTTTTAAACTGCAAATTTAACCTTTAGTAAGCAAATATCTACTGAACTCTTAGGATATACAAACTATTCTTAAGGTCTAGAAAAGCAGAAATAAATCATTGAGCTTAAGTCAAAGGCAAAGGATAATAGGAAAATAAGTGAATAGGTGTTATCTGATAGTAACGAGGGCTGTTAAGAATCACAAAGGTCATTTATATTAATCAGGTGTCTGCAGAAGGAATGACATTGAAGCAGGTGCTCGAATGAAGAGAGGGATGGCTGTGGAAGGAGGAATACAGGGAAGGAATCTCAGGGCCCTCAATGAAGACATGAAAAGCTTAGTAAAGATTAGGTTTCAATAATAGGAGTTTGGATCCAAGAACTTAAATATGATCACCACTTTGCTTTAAAACATCTCCAATAGCATGTGGAGAATGGGCTGGGGTGGTGAATATCAATCACTCCAATAGCATGTCGAGATTAGACTGGGGTGGTGGACGAGATGAAAAGCCAGAGTTGCATTTAGGAGGATCTCACAGTTAAGTGGGGGCAGACACAGTGTTGTTTGAGTAAGCAGCTGAAAAGGTAGTAAGCCTGATCAGATGCAGAATATAAAACTTAGATGCCCTGTCCCAGAAAGGAGTATCTAAGAGTCTTCATGATACAATTCAGGAGAAAGTTCCAAACATATGCAAAATTAGAGCATGTCTAGATAGCATGGACATCGGTCTGACTGTCAATAACACATACTACATCTCATCTGCATTTACGAGCTCAAGCCCACTCCTGTTTCCTCAGCACACATCCCACAAGTTGGATCCTCTGGATAATAGGGGAGGAAGTCTAGACAGCACACAACCCACCCAGAAATACCTCCATACCAAAATATTTCTGTCTTATGTTGGCCATTCATGGTCTGGAACTGACTTATTTCTTAAACTTGACTTATTTCTTAAAACAATAAAGATTAAGAATGACAATGGAGCTCAGGGCATCAAAACAAAGGTGGAAAAACTATATTAGTTCCTTATCCATTACTTGAATTACTTTGGCCACAACCACAGTCATGGATATGTTCAAGATACATTGCATATATGTATAAAATTTTTAAAGAATAAATAGCACTTAAAATATTATTTTACTGTTAAAAATATATCTTAAAATTTGGACAAGCCTCTCTTCCAATGCCAAATTCTACCCTAGGCTTACCAAAAAAACAATATTGATGATGTAGTTCTCAGTACCTAAGGTCATAAAATTCCTAGAAGCTATAACTAACTTTCTCTTAAGAATCTGTAACAAGAAATATTGCCTTGAGAAGAAAAGGAAGTCTTTGCCTATTGCAAGTGGCATGAAGGGCAATGGTAGGGTAGTTGTGGGAGAGAAGATTATCATAGTCCTAGAACTTTAGGCAATTTGCCTGTTTTCTCCTAGTATTGTTTGTGAATCTGTGAGCCCATAATGATAGTTCACACAGTTGTGACTCAATGGTGAGCACATGAAAGAACTGTACCACGCAGCAGCTCAGATCTTTGGTCCCCTTCTGATCCTCTCTCAGTAGGAGCCATGGGTCATGTTTATATTATATAGCCTCACTGCCTTAGGTCCAACCGTTACCCTGAGCCTCTGCTCAGCAGCCTGTCAGAGCCAGTGTGTTCATTAAAATACCTCTACTACCTTCCCCTTCTGTTATAGACAGGGTCCAAAGAGAAAAGCCAAAAATTATACCCTGGCATGTTTTATCAAGTATCTATTAACACTAATTATTGAGTGATAATTTATAGAATTTCTTGGTCTCTGCAGTAATAACCAGAAATCTCTAGTTTTCTTCGAATAGTTGAAAATGCAGTGTTACTAGGGCCTGAGTCTACAGTA